ATGCGTTCCAATCGTCATACACACATCGTCCTCGTCGTTTTCAAATCAGTCCCAGCTCGGCCAACAACACAGCAGTACAACGGTGCGCCCTTTTCAGTGGCAGCACCGATTACAATCAAATGCATGGCACGCGCGATCAACGCAGGAAAACAAAGCGCGTGGCGATACGACACCGCAAATAGAAGTCATGCTCTGACACAACACATACTTAGAACCCTAGTTTGTAGTACTGAAAGCTGATTATAGTGATTGTAGTACCCCATACCAAAATTCCAAATGAAAGATAAGAATAGAACAGTGAGTGATAAAGGCACTTTTTCAGCCAGAGCGGCATTAAATTTGTTATTCCAGAGTGGTAATTTTGTTAACGGCCCCAAACGCTGTATATTATTTTCATCTACCTTTTTTTCTCATCAAGGAGGGCGACCGCTTCCTGCAGGCGGCCATCGCCGCCATCAAAACCAAGTGCTTCCTTCCCCCCAAAGGTGGAATGTGTGGGCAAGGGCAAAAAAAAAGACGAGAATATAGAGGATTGACAACCGGGTGACGAGCTAGAACACAGCGAGGATTGGTGTTTGGTTTCTTGTCTCCCAAGAGACCTTGATAGCTGTGTCTTAGTATGCCTAACATGTGTATTCCATGGTAGTTCTTCGTTAAACCGAACTTTAGGAAATTTTTATTCTGTTCTAAGATCACATTGCTAAATTTAAAAATGACGGCGTCGTTATCACATTTATTTGTAGGCCGAAATATTACATATTTGGTAATAGACTCATTCAGTTGCAGTTTATTTGATATTAGCCAATGGGACACATTCACCAAGTATCTGTTATGTCTTCGAGATGTTGTTTAGTCTTTCCAGTGAAGAAAACGTTTGTGTCATCTGCATACATGACAATGTTAGGTGAACCTAGAATATTGACTAGATCGCTAATATATACTAAGAATAATAATGGAGCCATAATGGATCCCTGCGGCACACCATATTTGATGACAACTTGTTTGATGACACATCTTCAACTTTAACATATTGATACTGATGTTCAAGATAATTCTTTAGTAACCGTAAAGAAATTCCACGTATACCATAGTGCTCAGGCTTTCTTAAGAAAAAATCATGCTGTACCATATGAAACACTCTTTTAAGCTTTAAATATAGGCTTATTGTGTAAAACCTATTTTCTATATTTTCTATGATCTTATCTTTTATTTCAGGGGTGTGACATATGCGCCAATTGTGCCATTTTCATACAAACCTAATTTTCTGCGCCTAGTTGCGCCAGAAACGTTAAATCGGTCAAAATTGTGCCACATTGTGCCAAAGTAACTCAAAAACTAAAAAAAAAATAAAAAATGTTTGCAGCGGCGCTAGATTTAGCGGGAAACGAGAGCTTGGTTGGTAACATTCAATCTTGTAGCAAAGTACACGGCACGGGTACAGGGTGGCGCAAGCAACTGCCAAATTCGAAGGCTTCAGCTGTAGTATCCTTCTATACCTATGATACGTGTCTTTTCCCGATTTTCTGACTACTTTCCACTGTCATTTGTGGCTGCATGCCACCGGTGCGCTGTCACGCGGTCTCGCTGTCTGACCGCGGGAGGTGCGACGCACAGGCTATCAAGTTGAGAAAACTTGAGTATCTGTTTCGTTTTTAGAGTAAACCTTTTCTTAAAAGTGCTATTGAGCGCCTCCATTGTGTAATTGTTCATTTGTGTTCGTTATCTCGTCAAAATGGATGGCACCGTCGCCGTGAGTCCTTTTGGTTATCACACACGTGCTTCCAGTTTGAGCAATCGAATGAATCGGTCACATACCCGTATTTAGCGTGCATGTGATGCTCATAGTTTTTCTACCAATTCACTATTTACCTTGTGAATCGCTTTTGTGGGAAGTTTTTTTGTTTTTTTTCTCTCCCTGCACGTGCTTTCTACGAGCGTGGATGGATGTTTAGTTGTAGTAAACAGTGTTTCCCTGTTCATGCTCTCGAATCACCGCTTTAAAAAGTTTTGCACTACAAGTGCGCTTTGGCACCAGTTCGTATAAGCTCGAGGTACCTGGTGCCCACCTAACTTTGCAGCAAGTCTTTGTTTCCTGTCCTCATCTATGCGCACAAGACTCGCGTTTGCCTTTTCAGTTTTTTTTAAAATTTATTTTATATATATTTTATTTTAGTGTGTATCGGCGCTGATAACTTATTAGAACCAGGATGGACAAAAATAATGATTAAAAGAAAAATCTGATTTATGTGATTTATATTAGATTTTTTATGATTTAATTTGCTGATAAGCTGCTCTAACATTTTCTGCTCCTAATCTGCTCCAAACTGTAGACTTTTGTGCTTTGAAGTTGCTCCAAAATGCATAAACTGCTGCTCCAAAACAAGAATTTTATGCTCCTAAGCTGCTCCAAAATCCAGACTTTTCTGCTGCAAAAATTGCTCCAAAACCTGTTTCACCTGTCTCACCCCTGTTTATTTAAAAAAGAGCCTGGTTAGTAGATTTCTCTCTCTGAAAACCAAACTGTGTCGCAGTTATTGTATAATGCTTGAAAAATAAATTTTGAAGTCTGTGTATGATGGCGTTCCGCGCCCAGCCCAAATGGTCGACAGTGGTGTGTCCTAGGGTCCCCAAGCTTGTCTTAGCAAAGCTGTTTCTCACACATTTCTCAGTCTGAAAAATGTGACACAAAATAACAAACACGCTGTAGTGTTCACAAAATAAGGTAATTTTTTTGCAAAAAGTATCTATCTTTGCTTTTTAGTTCCTCTTTCACAAATGTAATTAAAATCATTGTTACAGTTACTTAAAAAAAAATGTATGATGTTACAGTTGGAAGTGACAAACAAAAATGACAAGTTACAGTATCGTGATGAAACAAGTATTGCAATACTATCCAAGACTGCTTTAGAGGTTTCTGTTTGAAGCTAAAAGTACACGGTACACGAAAAGATTACATCCTAAAAGGGGCTGACAGGGCAAGCACTAGAGCCTAATATTGGCCATCGTGGTCCCTGTACAAGTAATGCCATGATTACAATGGATCCTCGGCCGCAGCAGAACAGTATGACCTAGGACGGTACCCTGGGCAATGGGGAGTTTTGCTGTGGTTCAGATTCACTTGTGTCAAAAATTAAGTAGTTCCGGCAGCATCAGCGAGGCACCTGATGCTGGGAGCTCCCGCTCCTCAATGACACTCGATAAACGGTACCAGGCTATCGGCCGTGTGGAAATTGATAATTTCCGTACACGCCAAAGTGCACACATGCTGTAAGAAGTCTTAGTCCATCACGTAAACAGTCACACAGACGTACCTGTCATTGGCACGCGATGTCCAGCCATCCATTCTAATGGAGTAACACTCCGCACCTCTGCTGAAAATTTCCTGCAACTTTCTCTTCGCTTCCTTTTTTTTTTTGACTCGTAGAGTTCCGGGATAACTGTTTGTGAGAAAGTCATCCGCGACTGTACGCTGTAGTCTGGCATTGTAAATGCCACCATGTCGACGAAACCTCCCTCTTCAACTACAGTGTATGGGCGCATTCCACGACCGATGAAGTTACCAGCCATCATCATGTGCTTTGCTCTTGGTGTCCGCTTGCTATACGCTGTTTTATGTAGGCCTGATGTGCGTCCGGGTGATTCTTTAGATGGGACGCTAAGGTGGTCGTTGTGCCCGTTGGAGTCTTGAGGATTGCTTTGTGCTTCATGGATCACGCATTAGTGGGGGTGGGTGAGGAGGCAGCGAGCCACACTTTTACATGCAAAGAGCCGCAGCTTGGCCGCCCCTGACAGCCCCTTACCTTCTCACGGGCGTTTAAAATAAAATTTATGTCAAAGGACTTACCGTAATATTCTGGGAAGTAGCCCACCTAAAATCAAGAGCAAAGCAAGTGAAAATATGGAGTGGGCAATTTTTCAATGTGCAATCAAGGAAAGTAAAAAAATTATATTTTTAAATCATGTGTCCCTTCCAAGCTTCTTATCCGGGCAACGAAGCAAAGATGACTACTTTGGAGTCAGCAATGTTTGCTTATATCCTGCCATTGCTAACTAGCTGCATTTACGTCGAGGCCATATCATTGATCCTAACACTACTATTACTAGATGTGGGCTATCTTTTGGTGTTTAAAAAAATATAGGTAATCAAGTCAAAAATTGGGGTGGGCTGTCTTTCGGGGGTGGGGCATCTCGGCATTTTACGTTTGTGCGAGTGGCAAATTGGCTCTCAATGCCACGTGCCACTCGACGTGTGCTGGTTTGCCTACTCATGAAGGGCTATGGCCGGTCATGAGCAGAGAGGCGCGCTCTTCGTACGGCCTTTGCATCGGGGGTCTTTTCACCCTGCCGCCGCAGCTCGTGGGGGCACTACTGCCCCGCCTTTGCCCTCCGTGTGAGGCGTGCTTCGCACTCGCGCGTTTTCGGTGCCACCGCGCTTCGTATGCTCCAAGATCGAGTTTTAGAAATTACTGCGCTTGTTAGAAGAACTTCTCGGCAGAAAGCCAAATACTCAAGGAGACAGTAATCTTTTTGCTTTATATATATTTTTTTAATGGTAGGCCAATTACCACGGGAGGTGTCGCGTTTCAGCCGCAACATTTCTTGAATGTGAAAGTGGTCAAAGGCTATAGTGCTCATAACATCAATCTTTTTCTATGGATGCTATTGTAGCAAATATAAATTGAAACACATTCGGACTGTCATTTCGGGAACACATAGTAACTATGTACCTTGTTTATTCACTCTAAACAAGTGGGCTCTGAAGCAGTACGCCACGAAAATGTCATGAGAAAGACTTACAAGTTTACAGCCTGAAATGCTTTCTTGATGGCTTATGCACATAGGCAGACGGCCTGTCATTATTTTCCGTAACTTTTCTAGCATAGTTAACGAGAAGGATCCTGACAAACGTTTCAGAAATCAAACTAGCCGACCCCTTGACGTGACTCTTTTTGACACCTTCTGGGCAGCTCAGGATGGGTGAGTCATCACATATGTTTCAATCAGTACTTGCAGGGATCGGAGAACATTTGTCCGTAGCATGTGCTTCACTGCTTTCTCAAAGAAAGACACTACCTTGTCCAAGAGAACAAGAAACTCTGGCTTTGGGAAGAGTCCACTACTGTCTTGACCTTGCACAAGCATAAACAAGGGGTAATTTTTCTTGCTTGTCGTCGGAAGCATGGGGTAAACCCCGTGCCCGGTCTGATGTTTCAATACGAAGGAACCCGACGGGCCCCTGGTAAAGTCCAAAGTGGCTTGACTCCGAAGACGTTGAGTTAGTAGGGAGTGACGACCTTCGTATCGTCACCATGAATCTTGAGGGTCGAAGATTTGCCACTGCGGGTTAGGAGCCCGAGAAGATCAAACGCCATTGAGCCGAGGACACCGTTCCACCCCTAACCCAAGGGGGAAGTGGTCCGGAGACCTGACATCAGTCCCCCCGTCACAGAGAAGACGTTCTTGCTCCCCAGCCCTGCAGCCCACCGACGTACCCAAGTCCAGAGTAGGTCACAGAACGTGAAGCCCCCGAGTTCTTCAATTAGTGCTGATGGTAGAGCTGGAGCGAGGTTTTCAGGGTCAGTATCGGGCATCTGCACTTCCCTTTGCAGCAGGCAGAGTCTTTTCTTTCACAATGTGATCTAGAGCCGCCGTCACAGCCCTTGCATCGAGCGTTTCATTGCCACCACACATGAATCTTATTCTCCCAAAAAGTGCTTTGAGGGGGTTGCTGTTTAGCTTCCTTGTCGGGACGAAGTTGGCACTTTTTGCTGAAAGGAACTTTGTTGTCTCCACAGCTGACTTCGTGCTAAAAAGCAAGGCTTGGAAGGTCTCATTTGTAAAAGCGTTCATTCCTGAAACCACGAGTGTTTCCTGGATGCTTTTCACACATAGCATGAAAGCTCGTTTTGAAGCCACACCAGTCGAGGGTCGTCCTTCATTGAGATGGGTCTTTTCTGTGTCAAACCATTCCTTCATTGTCTTCATGAAATGAATGGTAGGGCGGTGATCTTCGTTCTTCGAAAACAAATAGAACAGGATCACTGTTTGAGTTTTCTTGAAGGTGTTCTAAGGCTGCAATTACATGTGCGGATAATATTTGCACAGCATGAAGCACATTGATCTTTTCTAGTTTTGAGGGGTAGACATGCTACCTAGTAGGCACATGATTCATTACTAGGAGCATTACTTATTTAGTCAGCCTTATTCTCTGTCCTCTTTCGGCCGTCTCCAGCGACCCGAAGCACGTCCCTGAGCAGTGTGGTTGATTCTGCGGCATCCTCAACCACCCAGGGCAGCCCCAGGACCCCTGCAGGTACGCACATGCACCAAACTGGTTCTCCACAAAGCGGTGTACCCTGCCTTGCACAGAACCACCAAGAGCATCTCATCGCGTCCATTGCTCCTGGTGCTTCCATGTGACTCATTCGTTTTCTTTTATTTTCCGTCTTTTCATAGCGATGACAAGCGCGTCACTGAGCGGTGTGATTGATTCTGCGGCATCCTCAACCACCCAGGGCAGCCCCAGGACCCCCCCAGGTATGCACACGCACCAAACTGGTTCTCCGCTAAGTGGTGTGGCCTGCCTTGCACAGAACCACCAAGAACATCTCATCGCGTCTATTGCTCCTGGTGCTTCCATACGACTCATTTATTTCCTTTATTTGCTCGTCTATCCATGCCCATAGTGACCCAGGGTGCATCGTCCAGCTGGCTCCTCGCTCTTGCTGCATCCCCAACCACCTTGGTACAAACAGGCAGCCCCAGCATGCCCACAGGTACGCACACGCACCAAACTGGTGCTCTACTGCAAGGCAGTAGAGAATCGGGCCATCCAAGGCAGGCTACTGTAGCCCACCTTGGATGGAATTATCAAACGCATCTCTAACTGGTTGCCATCTTTGACATAACTTAAATATTTTCAAGATGATTCATGCGACTCCATCGTTTCCTTTTATGCTTTTTCCGGACTCTCTTTAGCAACCCAAAGGGTCACAAGTGCAGGTACACCCACTCTGCACGCAGCATCCAGGCGCTGCGAGAAAAAGTGTGCAACGACGCAGACAGCAGGCTTGCAAAGAAATGCACGTGTGGTCTTTCACTGAAATGAATATGTTGGCATGGCCCAGATTTCACTTTTTACATTAATTTTTACCTAAATTAATATAATTATACATTAATATAATTAGAATTTCACTTCTGAACATTTGTTAGTGCAACTCTTCCCAAACTGGATTCATAAGGTTCCTGGTGTTCAGCAGAGAAGTATCACTGGTTTACCACACTTTTAAATTTCCTCAACTACCCTGCACCTCATTGAAGTGTCTTTTTAGTTTGACCACCACTGTGGGAGGGGTGTCTGACACCCCCACTGTGGGGGGGGGGGGTGTCAGAAAGAGAGCAAACACGTAACAAATATTACGGCCATTAGCAACCATCAAACGCGGTTTGAACAATTTTGTTTGTTTGACACACTGCATAGGGGTTCACGGTCGTCTAGCGCACTTCCGGCGAACTGTGCGACATTCTTCACACAAGTGCTCGACTTATGCTCTCTTAAAACGGTTTGTACGTGCAAATGCGCCTATATGACTGCAGGATAACTTTATGGGCATAGGATTGTTAAATATTAGTGGAATGCAAGCGGGTGGAGACTTCACTTCGTGCAGTGCTTCGGGGCAGTACAGATAAGAGATAAGAAGTATGCTCAAACTTAGCTTTTCAGCGGCACCTCCGAGTTTTACCTTGCGTGCCCAGGCATATTAAGAAAAACAGTGATTGCAAAAGCTTATATTTCGTCCATGGACACACAAAGCAAACAAACTTCCTGACCAGCAACACTAATGTAAAGGTGCGAGCTCGATGTATGCGTATATAGCAATCACTATATATACATTATTTACATATCAAGTACAGGTCACTGTCACGACCTTCGAAACCTAGCCGCTCAATCTTGCTCGTGAGCTTTCTCTTCCTCTCGTCCTCTTTTTTTCTTGCCGTTCAAGAGCTGGCGTGATGACCGCTACACTATTCCCTTCTAGGCAATTTAAAGCAGAAAAACGAACTTTGCGGTGCGTTGGTTTGGACACTTTAGTCTGTGAGGAATACTGATGCGACGGTTGGATATGCGTGGGCTTAAGCCTGTCTATTGATACATTCTCTGTTTTTCCGTTTAATAGTATTTGGAAGTATTTCGATGTCCTCTTCAAAACTGGTTGTTACAGCTTGTTGACTCATACACAAGCAAGATCCCCGAACTTCGCAGCGTCGAGATTCCCAGCACTGGCTCGTTCGCATACCTCGGAATGGAAACAGGAAGGCTCGGGCACGAAAATACAACAAGCATGTGTAAAGACAAGCTATACGTCTCGGGCTTGTGCTAAAGCTTTGAGGTCTGGCCATTTAGGCTAGTTTAGAGATAAAAAAATGACGCTCTCAGAACCAGAAAACATGAGATAACGGCCGACAATAGTCCTCGTCTGTGTATATATACTTGTCGACGTGTCGATCAAAACCGAAACCATGCCACTCTCTCCCATGGCCAACTAGTTCCCAGAGTGCAACGCATGCCATGTTGCATGCAGGGGTTTATCCCAATGAGGTTGACAAGATCCCAATAAAAAAAAACCTCGAACCAGCCGAGAATGTCTTTTTCGTCAGTGGGTTGCCACACAATCCCAGGCACTGCACAAAACTGAAACCTCGGAGGCACGGGTGGTGGGTTTTCAGTGTTTATGCGTTGCCACACCCTAACACTACCCAGCGCGTCGTCCCCTTCGTCACTTTGGTCGTCGTCTAAGTCCGTTTCGTATTCAAAAATCCATGTCCGACTCACTTTCAGAGACAAATTCGATGTCTTCATCGTTGCTACTGTTCGAACTGCCGCAAGAGAGAGCCCGTTTCCGAGGGTCCGAGGTCACCGGCATCACTCAAGCGTGCTGCCATTTCTGATCACTGTTGCAAGGCTAGATAGACGTCAAAGGCCAAAACACGCCTGTATTGAAAATTGAAACTAAAGCCGATGGACGAAGCTGTCTTGTGTTTGGCAGTGAAAGCAAACCATCATTGTGGCTGGATGAGTGTGACTAGTCATCGGCGATACTGGTACAACTTTTCATGACGAATACAGCTCGGGCCGAGTGGTTAAAGGGTTAACTAATATGCACATCAGCCTTAAAGATAGCAACATTGTCACGTTTTGCCCGACATATGTTGCCTTATTCAAACAGTTCTTTTCCTCAGAAAACGCAAGCCCACATTGGTCAAATTTTTCTCATCATGCGAATGAAACAGGAAACCAATATTCATATTTTTGTCAACAAAGTAAGTTTCGAACACCATGCAAAATGCATTCTGAATAGACCAGGTGCATAATTTTGCCCATGTTTGGGGGGATTTTTCTCTCCCGTCACACCTAGACTTGTTGCAGCAATGTTGAGCACAAGTAATGTGAATAAGGCAGGATCTCTCTCTCTCTCTCTCTCTCTCAATTTTAGAGATGTCTTAGATTAGGGATCTAAGAGACAGACAGCGTTAGACAAGGTCACATTTTTTCTTGCCTTACAATGGTGCCTCATGGCTTTTTTCTTGCCTTACAATGGTGCCTCATGGCTGGCGTATTCAGGAATTGACCTACGCTGAGATGTGGTTCATTTTTCCACCGCATTTGGCATTAGATGCACCCTTAGCTTGAATGAATGTTCATGTTATCCTTTTTGAAGGTACCAGCTGAATAGAAGAATGAGAGAGAAAAGCAAGGAAAGGAACAATCACAGCAGTCCATGTTATTGATTACTGTATATACCTGGAATGCTGATTGTGGTTGTATTTTTACCTAAAGAAAAAAGAATGAAAGCTTCGTTTAACCCACAGAAACAAAGCACGCAAAAATGTAAGCTGCTCACGTGTTATCTCTTATGGACATTCATTATTTGTACACAGCGTGTCAGCTATCGCTCCTGCCTTATTTTATGTAGGGTGCATTCATGCACCCCTTGTAGTACTTGATGCCGATGGTGCGCGCTCATGGGAATAAAAGTAGCGGGGAACAAAATGGTGCAGCAGCACAGGCGAAGCTACGAGCTCGATACGGCACGCGCTCAATGCAAAAGACAGAAAAATCAAGGAACAAAATGGCTTGATGTCATCACCCTAAGCAAAGTGCACAGGAAGGCACCCTAATTTTATTAACTCCAAATTTTAGTTTGCATCCCTTTGAGTCTAAGGCAAGCTGCATCCTTTCAGAAAGCTTTAGGTTTTGAGACCAACCACCATCCTGCCACGATAGAAAGCATAGAAGTTGCAAAACTTGGCAGACGTGCATGTCTGACAAATCTCCTTCTTGGTTCACATGTGTAATCCTTTCAAACACTATACACTGCAGTCTGTTCCTGTGCCCATTTGTTGAACATGGGGATTGGTGACATGTGCTACCTCCTAGTGATGGAAGTGGCTTCAAAGGGGTTGGAAGTGATGAAGCATGTGAATGAGTTCTTCGGGCGTCCAGTATTGTTTATTGGCGGAAGAATATGTATCTCCCGTCAAATCCTCGTTACCACGCAGCTTGGCAACGCCTCCATGTTACCATGTCCCAGTATGTGGTAGACCCACTACGTAAATTGCCTCTAGGCTGTGTACTGGATAAAGTATATAAATGAGTTTTACAGGTGTCCAGTATTGTTTATTGGCGGAAGCCTAGGTATCTCCCGTCGAATGCTCGTTACCACGCAGCTTGGCAACGCCTACGTGTTACTACGTCCCAGTATGTGGTAGACCCACCATGTAAATTGCCTCTAGGCTGTGTACCGGATAAAGTATATAAATAAGTTTTTCAGGTGCTCAATATTGTTTATTGGCGTAAGCCTATGTATCTCCCGTTAAAGGATGGGAACTCCTTTCGAATCCTCGATACCACGCAGCTCGGCAACATCTTCCTGTTTCCACGTCCCAGTATGTGGTAAACCCACCACGTAAATTGCCTGTAGGCGGTGTACCGGTACCCCCTGCAATAAAAAAAAAGACATCATGATCCACTGGTCAGTTGACCGCTTCAAGAGAGACGCCAATCTCTATTAACTTCAGGCCTCCTCCACGTTCAGACCTTGTTCAGGTTCTGTGAACAATCTTCAGTTACTCCGAAGTTTTCAACCTTATTGTTATGTAGTTTTGGAAACTGGACATCCCTTATAAAAGACTTGAAAAAGAAGAAAGGTTGTTAGTGTTCACCTTAATGAAACCCTATGACAACTTGCAGTCTCATGTGCAGCTGGTTCATTTTGTGGCATCCCCCTTCTGTCCTTGCTTTTACACCCATTAAGAGGCCGAGCGGTGTCTGGCAGTCATGACACCAACTTGATTCCATGCATAAACACTTGGCATGTAGTCTCTGGACTTTGCACACCCTACATGGTCTCTAGAAACATGTCCAGAGGCTATGAGCCTCCAGACATGTATACATGTTTAAGGTTCCATGCATGAAAACGACTTGAAGGAATGTGACACAAGCGACGGTGGCTGCTCAGCCTCTTGGTGGGTATGGATTCAAGGGCAGAAGAGGGGATGCTATTTAGAGTGTATTCTAATAAAGCTTTAGCTGCTTTCGAATCCTGTGTGTTGTTGCCCTTCACTTTTTCCTCGGTTCTGGGGTTTTGTAAAGCTGACTGCTCTTAGTGACTTGGATATAACAGGGACTCAATTATATTGAGTTTTGCTTGAACAAGCTCATCTTTTCAATCTGTTAGATCAATTGTTTTTTGTTCTTTTTAATCGACGAAAGGTAGTTTTACATTCATTTCATTCATATTTCTGTCACTGTCACTTGACAAATGTGTTATCTTATGGATCTTTACATGGTTTAGATAATACTACCATAGATGTATTGTCACACTTTGCTGTATTGAACTGTGCTTTGTGTGTATTTATTCTTTTTCTGTGAATATTTTACATTAATTTTTGTCTTTTTGTTTTGTTTTTGGTGCCGCTGCTGTCAAATGTAAGGATGGAAGGCCGAGGGCTTGTCAAGCTGCATCATGCAGCTTTTTTCCTCGGTCTCCCTTCGTCACACATTTTTTCACGGAAAATAAAACACATTATTACATTGTCATGA